CCACCCCAATCTACCCCTGGTTTGTGCCGTGCATGCTGCATGCAGCCCCTAAACCGTTAATTCCTTAGGCAGATACGAGGCACGATCTTTGAATATTTTGTTGTGTAATGTCTTTTTAATCTACTTACTCAAATACATCTCCTTATTAGTAGAGGGAAGAAGAGGCTCATGTTAGCCATTCAATTGAGGAACTCAACTTCCTTGAGCCCCTCCGGGAAGGCCAGCATAATTCAGATCTCCCACGATTTCCTGGGGCCGAAAGGTTATTCAACTGGATCGGGGGCAGAAACAGGCTTCAAAACAGCTAGCCGCAGAATGTTACACAAGTTGCGTAAGCCAGCTTTGACTGGAGTTAGCTTATGCGCGAGAGGCTGTGCTGCCCGCTACTTTTGTTCTCTCCAGCGTACACCCCAAGGTACTCTATTTCTCCAGGTATTTGAAGGGGCCGCGTCATTGGGCGTCGTCGCGTCGATAGCTCAGTTGGGAGAGCGTTAGACTGAAGATCTAAAGGTCCCTGGTTCGATCCCGGGTCGACGCGCTTTTGCTTGTTTCTTAGCACTTCTGCTGCACTTTTTGCACATGATAAGCAAGCATGCCCTGTAAGCCTCATCCTGGAACAGCGTAAATGGTGTCTCAGATGTCTGTCTGCCTGCTGTGTCTTATACAATGCTGTCGGCTTTATGCATCAGCAGCCGGTTGAGCCTTTGTTTGGGCATTGTTCATTGGAATGATGCGACGAAAAGTAGACGCATCCAGCTGTAGTGCATTCTATTGAGAATCACGTTTTGAACGGGTGGCCAGGCATTTTGCCATGCTCCTTCTGGTGTTCGCATTCTATACGGACGGAGTCCATTGGGTCTCCATGGATGAGAGTATGCGCGACATACTTTCCATGTGTGTGTTCCAGTCCTGTGCCGCTGCACCGTGTTAATGGGCTCCAGATGCTGAGTTAACTCATTAGGCTCTGCTACTTCCAACACAGGCCGTCGCCTGTGGCCCACATCGTTTTACAATGGCCGTTGAGGGTGAAGACCAGTCGCTGAGGGCACTGAGATCCCTCCAGCCCCCGTGCTTCCCTTAATTAGTTTATTCAAGTGCACATATCACACAAGTAATACCTGAAACCCCGTTAGGTAAAGGATGGCATCCGTCAAGCTCAACACCGACCAGAGCCCCAGAAAGCTGCAGCCTTCATACGTCACCTCATTTACGGTAGTTACCCTCCCTCGAATCTGGCTACTATGATTGGGAGAGGAATCTATGCTGACACTCTTATGGGTACGTTCAGTTAACGCCACAAGCCGGTGGGTATAAAATGAGTGTAATTAGATATAAGGTGCTATTCCGCCAAACCCAAATCGACGGGTGCTTCCCGTGTGTCAAGAGCAGAAGTTTACGCAGGTCCATTTGCACTTAACCCCCTTGACACATTTTTAATGCGACGCCAAATAACGTAACACGTAAACATTGTTCTCGAAGAACACGTCTGTGTGCCAATAATATTTATGCAGCGTCTGTACTCTGCACGTATGCAACCCAAGAGAGAAACCGGCTGGTTTCAATATAGAATGCGGGATAGGACAACTGGTGACACAATTAAGACGCCACGTTTTTTTTGCGGGACGAAAGAAAAGCAGCAAAAGCTATCTTCTTGATGGGGAAAGCGCGTCGACCCGGGATCGAACCAGGGACCTTTAGATCTTCAGTCTAACGCTCTCCCAACTGAGCTATCGACGCGACGGCGGCCAGTCACTTGGCTCCCCCCAGCATCCTATACAATTCACACCTTTTCCGTGCTGCCCAAAGGAAGTAAAGGAACCGGATAAAAATACAACCGGTCCCCCGCCATAGAAATCAAGTTCAAGCAACCCTGTGTATCTGGTACATAGCTAACCTGTGATACACATCCTACCGATCAAACTTCCATGGAAATGCTGAAGTGAAAAGACGCCGGGGGAGAGCAGCGTGAAAATTAAAAGTTGAGGTGTTTTCTCAGAGTTTCTGCGAATCTTATCATCAAGGCGTCCAAGAGTGACTAAGGTGGCACGACAAGGAGTAACGAATAACCAAGCAAAGTACGAGGAATGCATGATACAATTTGCATCTGCATTTCCGGTGTGAGACCCTAAATACGGCTGGAGAAGCGGGTTATGATAGCTGGTGACACAAATAAGACGCAAGAGCTTTATGCCCATTCAGTCATCCAGATAACTCCAAATCGAGCCAGTAAGATGTACTTCCTTTCCAGGCAAACGAAGGGCAATAAGAATACTTTTCCTAACAGGAAAGCGCGTCGACCCGGGATCGAACCAGGGACCTTTAGATCTTCAGTCTAACGCTCTCCCAACTGAGCTATCGACGCGACGGCGGCCTGTCACGTGGCACCACCAGTATCGTATAAAGTGCAGCCGTTTGCGTTGAACACAAAGAGGATAAGGGCACAGGATAAAAGTATAACCGTTCCTCCTTACATGTATATCGGGTTAAAACTATCTTTTGCACCTGGTCCGTTATACTGTACTTAGCTAGCCTACAATATACATCACTTTGACGTCACGGACCCAAGATTCTTCCAAGCCTTATATGAATTGCCTCGAGGTACCTGAAGAAATTACCCTAACGACCTCGTCGAACACAATTTAGTTTCCCCGTTAGCGGGTTACGACAGCTGGTTACACAAGTAAGGCGCAAGTGCAGTGCACACACGCAGCCATCCAGGTGGCTCCAAATCAACAAGTAAGATGTACTTCTCCAGGCAAAAAAAGGGCAATAAAAAGACTCTTCTGAATGGAAAAGCGCGTCGACCCGGGATCGAACCAGGGACCTTTAGATCTTCAGTCTAACGCTCTCCCAACTGAGCTATCGACGCGACGGCACTCCTGCAGGTGACTCCTCCAAGAATCGTACAATATGTGGCCCTATGCGTTGCACGCCAGCAAGGGCAAAAACAGGGGATAAAAATATGACAATTTGCCCCCTAAGTCAGGTTAGCGTTACCCTTTGCATTTGATGAGATATTCTTTCTCTATGTAACATAATTTATATATCTCCCTGCCTTCCAATGTATTTGTTTGTATTGAACTTCCATGGAAATATTGTTGTGGAAGAACACCCATGGTAATGCATGCACTACTCTTGCAGGCTACTGCTAACACGTTGTCCTTAGTACCCAATATGTCTGCAAGTAGCCATAGACGAGCTAACTAACGGCAGAGAAAAAATGTTGAATCCGGCAGGGGCGTCGATAGCTCAGTTGGGAGAGCGTTAGACTGAAGATCTAAAGGTCCCTGGTTCGATCCCGGGTCGACGCGCTTGTAGCTTTTCCTATTGGCTATATTATTTGTCTTCCTTGTTTGTTTTCTTCTTTGCACATCATGCGTCTGTATCCTCTCCTGGGGGGGGGTCCTGCTGCCACGTTCCCCCTTCCTCCTTCATTTGGTCCTTTTCTGCTTTATTTGTCGTGTTCCTGTCTCTCTCGTATACACCTCCTGCGTGAGTCTTTTCCCTGGGTATGACTTGTCTCCTCTTTGGTCTGCCTCTGTCTCCTCCTGTCTCCTGCAGTTCCTCTTAACGATCCGCTTCTCCTTCCTTGCCGGTGCTTGCCTTCTGTCTCCTTTCTCCTGTCTCTCTGTGCATGCTCCTGAGTCCCTATATCTTTTAAGTCTCTGTCTCTTCTGAGTGTGTGTGTCCCTTCTTCGTTTCTGTCTCCTGTTGCCGCTAACGAAGTGTAACCCCGTCTCATGCTTCCCTACGGCATTTATACGTATTTACCGTCTCTGTAGCCACCCCACTAAGTCCCCTACCTGCTGCATATCTGTCCTTCTAATTCTGTTGCTGCCTTGCCTCTTGCTGTATTGCTGCTGCTGCTGCTGCTAACGAGTGTGCTGTTGCTGTAGCTTTGTGCTGTTGCTGTTGTTGTTTGCTCTTGCAGGATCGATCAACTTGCCCCCTAACACTCTAACACACTCCTAAGATATGGTTTTTATTGCCTTATTTAACAATTATAAATATATTTTATTTATTTTTTAGTTATTTTTGCCAAAAAAATAAAAGTTCGTAAAGCCTCAAATAAAAAGAAGACGTACAACCATAGAAGAGCGGCGTGCTGCGTTGCAGCGGTGGTGTGTATGCAGACATGCCTGTAATTGATTGTTTCCTTTAATATACAAAATGCTATTTTAATTTATTTAGTTATACTTTAATTAAATTTAATTAATTTATTTTCTCCGCTTTATCCATTTTACTGCGCAGCGCAGCAGAGGGCCCCAGCAGGAGGCTGCTGTCGTCACTTGCTGCTGCAGCAAAACAACATTGAAAGAAAAACATTTAAAGGACTAATAAGCGATTAGTATAAATTTTACGTTTTATTTTTATATCCTCATAGACATTAACAACTCCTTTTGCTGCAGCAGCAGCAGCAGCAGCTCCAGCAGGTTCAAGGCAGACACCGGACCGACAGCAAACAGCGCATAGGCTACATTGCTTTGCATTGCCCTGCTGCAGCAGCAGCAACAGACACAGCAGCAGCAGCATCAGCATCATATCCAATACACATACACGGGACTACCGAGCAAGAAGGGACTCAGCAGCGATCGGTACGGCCTCTACAGCAGCATCAGAAGCAGCAGCAGATGCTGCTGCTGCTTCTGCTGCTTCTGCTGCTCCCCTTGCGTTGACACAGGTGTAGCGGCAGCCGTAGCTTTTGGTGTAAACGCAGAACAAAGCAGCAGCAAGAAGGACAGCAGCAGAAGCAGCAGCAGCAGCCGATGGAAGCAACTTTTTTAAGGCCCTATTAGCGGCTTGTGGTCTTTGCTGCTGCAGGTACACTAGGGGCTCTAGCAGCTGCCGCAGCTGCTGCACAGCAGCAGCAACAGCAGCAACGGCAGAAGCCCATAGGGGATAAGGACCTACAGCAACCTTAGCGGAGCCGCCGGCAGCAGCAGCAGGAGCAGGAGCAGCAGAAGCCGCTGCGGCAGCAACTGCTGCTGCGCTGTGTTACAATGGCTTCGTTTAGCTCCGTGCTTCTGCCCTTGCATGCACCAGTTTCTGCTGTAAGTCTTTGTGTGTTTTAGGGTTTAGTGTTTAGGGTTTAGGGTTTGGTTTCTTTGAAAGACAAAATTAGGGTTTAGGGTTTAGGGTTTAGGGTTTCCTGTTTTATTCGTCCTCATGTAGTTACAAGGTCCAACTATTTTGATGTTTCAAAAAAACATAATTTTTAAGGGTTTAGGGTTTAGGGTTTAGGGTTTAGGGTTTAGGGTTTAGGGTTTGTGGTGTGTATGTATAGAGTTCGGATCCTCGTTTTCAGCGTCCTTCTCTCCTTTTACCTCCTGTGTCCTTAACACCACAAACAGCAAAACGTTTGCTGCAGCAGCACAAGGAATGGACATTTGCTGCTGTATTTACAGGGGGAGGTTTATCTGTTGCAGCAACATTTAATCAACAAGCTGACTTCCTGTAAACCCTAAACCCTAATAAACCCTAAACCCTCAATAAATTCTTCCCTAACCACCAGGCGATGATTTAAGCCCTCAAACCCTAAACCCTTTTTTAGGGTTTAGAGGATGTTTTAGATGCTGTATCCGAGCTCTTTGTTACACAAGACCAACCGCCCGCCTATACAAACCCTAAACCCTAAACCCTAAACCCTCATTTTCTTGTGCCTATGCAGGGCTTTGGCTCGCGCTTTTGACTATCGGGAGAAGACCGTCAGCAACGGTATTTCTTTCTTGGGACATACTTACCCAGTTACAAGGTACGGATTAGGGTTTAGGGTTTAGGAAGTGGTGTTGAGGGTTTAGGGTTTAGGAAAAAGGGTTTAGGGTTTAGGGTTTGTGCGGGTCTCGCAGGTTTGCACCGCCGCTGATTATATGCCGCCGCGGTGTTGGTGATGACACAGAAGGCCTAGCAGTCTTAAAGGTTAGAAAACCCTAAACCCTAAACCCTAAACCCTACTTGATGTTCTAGTTGCTGAGGAGGCAGCACGAGGGTTTAGGGTTAAGGGTTTTGTAGCAGTTGCCGTTCTTTGCATCGCATTTGCTGCAGCAGACTGCAGCATTAAATGCCTTTCCTTAACCTGCTGATTCATAAGAAAATGCCCATATTAGGGTTTAGGGTTTGCTGTTGCTGCTGCTGCTGCTGCTGCTGCTGCTGCTGCTGCAGGGTTCTTCACGTATGGGGGAGGATTTGCTGCTAGTTGCGGTGTACAGACCGCCAGCTGTCTCTGCCTCTGCTGTTGCACAAATGCGTCGCTTCTTTGTCTCTCATTGTGAGCTTCTAGTTAGCTAGCTAGCTTGCTAGCTAGCTAGCTACCTCCCTCCCTCCCAGCCTGCTCGGGGATAACTACTTAGCCAGCTCACTACCTAGGGGAGGCTAGCCAATTAGCTAGCTAGCTAGCTAGCCAGCCAGCTAGCTAGCTAATGATGGTGTATTGATGATGTTTATGTGCTGCAGTGGGTACACTCCCTTCCTCTAAATCCCCTAAACCTCCTACACAGCTTATTGACGAACAACGCATTATATAAGCTGCTGCTGCAGCAGCAGCAGCAGCAGCAGCAACTGCAGCAGCAGCAGCAAGAGATGCAACAGCAGCAGGGGGCCCCACCTTATTGGCCCACGTTTCCTTCGCTGCAAAGGCATATAGATGCACATGTACCCCTCTATGGCTAGCTAGCCAGCTAGCTATTGGGCCTTATCTAGCTGCCTAGCTAGCTAGCTAGCTAGGTAGCTTGCTAGCTAGCTGGCAGGTTGTTGGTTGTAGTGTTTACTTATCTGGGTGCCACAATACGACTAACCCTCTTGCAAAACCCTAAACCCTAAACCCTAGACTCTAAACCCTAAACCCTACGGCTATGCGCATATCTAGTTAGTAGTTGTCTACATATCTACAGCTGTTGGCTGCCTCTATGCTGCAGCAGATCCTCTACTCTATGTGCAGCAGCAGCAGCAGCAGCTGCTGCTGCTGCTGCAGTTGCGGCAAAAAAGGGAAGGTGCAGCACCTCTAACTCCCAGTTTGTGGGTCGTTTTTGTTCTTAAAGTTTTGCTGCTGCTGCTGCTGCTGCTGCTGCAGCTGCACATACACTGTGTGGTTCCTTTTTGTCTTTCTTGCTGCTGCTAGACCCTAATGGTTTCTGCTGCATGCAGAGGCCAAGCCCCAAACTGCACAGCAGCACGAATGCTACAGCAGCAGCAGTGGCAGGGAGCTGCTGCTCTGGGTTGGGGGGGCATTGGAATGCTGCTGCTGCTGTTGCTGTTGCTGCTGTTGCTGTTGCTGTTGTTGCTGCTGTTATGCTGGGGTTGGTGCCATAGAAGCAGTACAAGATGCAGTGTAAGTGCTGCTGCTGCTGCTGCTGCTGCTGCTGTAGCGGTTGCTGCGACGGAATACATTGTACTAGGTATATAGTTGGTGCAGCTATTATACCGCTGCAGCAGCAACTGCAACTGCTGCTGCTGTTGCTGCTGCTGCTGCTGCTGCTGCTTAAAGCCTACGTCCTCTTCTACCAGATTTTCTGCGTGTGCTATCGGTAGGGATGGGGGTAACATCCTCAATACGGCCAATGCGCAGTCCTGAACGTGCCAATGCCCTGCAGCAGAAGCAGCAGCAGCAGCAGCAGCAGCAGCAGTAAAAACAGCAGCAGCAACAATATAAATCCTTGTTGCAGCAACAGGT